TTTTTTACTTGCTGAAAAAACTTTGTGACAAACAAGCCAAATACTACAAATTTCATTTTAGAGATTTGAAGTTGAACCAAAGTAAAGTATTTATCCCAAACTGACTCTTGTCTCAAAGTTTTAAGCTGTGTTTCTTCTTCTTCTTCTCACCAGGACCTCATCTGGTCGTAAGGAAGTGAGGGGGTGAAGTATTTATCTGTCAGCATGTGATATTTCTGCTCCAGATGCCTGAGGACATCAGCACCAAGGGACACCTCAGAGGAGAGGAGAGGAGAGGAGAGGAGAGGAGAGGAGAGGAGAGGAGAGGAGAGGAGAGGAGAGGAGAGGAGAGGAGAGGAGAGGAGAGGAGAGGAGAGGAAAGGAGAGGAGAGGAGAGGAAAGGAGAGGAGAGGAGAGGAGAGGAGAGGAGAGGAGAGGAGAGGAGAGGAGAGGAGAGGAGAGGAGTTGAGTTCTGGGAACAAAAAAGGGAGTTCCTAACTTCTAGTGCACGCCTGGGGAAGGGGGGTCTGGAGGAGTGTTATTATTATTCCACCCCCCCAAAGTGTGTTGCTCTTTAAGACTGGAAACACTCCTATTAAGGCGTGTGTGTGTGTGTGTGTGTGTGTGTGTGTGTGTGTGTGTGTGTGTGTGTGTGTGTGTGTGTGTGTGTGTGTGTGTGTGTGTGTGTGTGTGTGTGTGTCCATGAACACAACAATGACGATAAGATGTGTCCAGGAACATAATTCTAGGATTGATGCTATTGTCATGTGATGAAGCTAATAATAGCCATGTCTTTTTAAATATACGGCAAGCCAAACACTATAATAACTGCAGGAGAGGTGCAAGCGGAGAACCACCCTCCACGTCCCCGCCCCACCCGGAAAATGCACCATTCAGAAGAACCAGCTGTATGAGGGAAACGTGACAAACGGTGATTCATGCACACACAAATGCACCATCTATGTGTGCATAAAGACACTCTTCTCTTGGCGTTCAGACATGCAGACAAGAACTTTCACAGTCTGAGAGTATAGACAGGCTCTCTTCTGGGCTCAGAGCCAGCACGGTGAAGGGAGGTACCGCTGAAGCTAACCCCGCCACACCCTGGATCACAACAGCCACGCCAGCGGCACAAAGACCACATTCTTCCACACGATTGTGTTCCTCATCATCAATAATATCCCCCTGATTACTTATATCAAAGAAAATGTGAGGTTATTTTAATTTATGGTGGGGAAAAAAATCACTACAATTCAAATTTTATATTATTTTACTTGAAAAATATCTAGAAATCAACTTTTTTGTTTGATTTGTTTGCAGTTAAATTGTGCAAGACCAGAACCAATCAAGGCCCCTGCAACCTTGTCTGAAAAACTTGTTTATGCACAAAAGATTTCAGAGGTCACACTTTATCTCTCATAGTCTGAGATAGCTCTGCGTGCACATCTAGCATTTTTCAGGTTCACACGCTCCTCTCAGGGTCAATGTGGTTTCGGACACCACAGGAGTGATCTGTGCAGCACGTTCTGCATCCTCTATCAATGTGTCTGCAGCCCCTGAAAGCAGCAGAGCAGACACTGGACACGGTGAGGTCAGACATGAATGGATTTCCGACCTTATCCTTTTATTTCTTGGAAACCTCGTTCGATACAGAGGGAGATGAAGCCAAGTGCTTTGCTTACCTTTTTGTCAATGCTGCAGTTCACAATCACAGCTGTGGAGTTCATGATCCCGTTGCTGTGGTCTGTGATGTTCACATGTCATGCTTTTTGTGCAGCTGCAGCTTTTTTTCATTCATTAATTGCAGGTTCTCTTCTTTTCTGACCAGTTTCAGTCAACCTTTGTTTCACGACAGTCTCATAAATGTAGTTTACTGTTATTGTGAGTCATTATACCTACATTTATATATGTTACCTTTTAGAATGACCTTTAGAGGTCTGCCAGCCTTGTCCCGAGATATTAACTCGTAATTCTTCCTCTTCCAGGCATTGCAGGTTTATATCTATTTCTTTATGTTTGCAGCGTTATTGTGCTGCTAACATGTGACCTGGCGTTGAGTTAAAAGCATTTATTCAACCACAAATTTTGTATCTCAGAGTTATTTTGCAAAAATAACACGGAGGAAACACTGATGCACATCATCAGTGCACATAAATATCTAACAAGGCTCATTTTAAAGGCTGGTGTTCATTTCTGAACATCTGTAAAGTACAGCAAAGCGCCCTGGCGTAACTCGTCTCTGGAGTTATTTCTTTTGCAGCTGATTAGTTCCTTTCCTCGTCTCTTTTTTCCGGTGTTATATTTGACAGTTCACAGCATCGCAAAGATCAAGCTCAGGACAAAGTGAAAAGTGACTGGAAACATACAAATTTCATCTGAAAAGCCTCCCTTCAGACTGGCCATTGTTTGTAATGATCCATTGTTTAGGAATAATCCCATTAGCAGTAATCCCTGTTGTCTACATGGAATAAATGAGAAGTTTATGTTTAAATTTGCTTTTATAGCATTCATTCACCTGTTGGACAAAAATAAAGACTTAAAGAAATAAATCAGGTTGCAGCAGGAATAGAAAGTAGGCTGCTTTATTATTGAAGCTTTATTGTGTGTGTGTGTGTGTGTGTGTGTGTGTGTGTGTGTGTGTGTGTGTGTGTGTGTGTGTGTGTGTGTGTGTGTGTGTGTGTGTGTGTGTGTGTGTGTGTGTGCAGTTTTAGCTGATAAAATGCTGCTTAAGTGATAGTTTGGACCTTTTGAAGTGTTTTTTGTTGTTATCATGAGAAGATCAATAAAATTGGGTCTGCTATAAATAGCTCTTTGAACAACCTCAGTTTGGACAAATAGAGATGAGTTCTGAATGGACTGATATGCTAACAGAGGGACAAGGACAAAAATGGACTACTGCCACCTATCAACAAGTTAAGGTAAAAAAATGTTCAAAATGATTTACAACACTGTAAGTTTTAAAATAAAAAATTTAAACAAACACCCGTGATCGTTTTTTAATTGTGCCACAAAATCTTGAGGCACAAGTGTTGCACGTCACCCACAAGCTTCCTCTGATATGCGCTCCACTTCTGGGCCCCGCCCACCAGCATGATCCCGCCCTGTAAGAGAATCTGTCTGCTCATCACTTCCTATCCACCCTGGTGTCCCTGGGATTAACTTATTTCCCAAAACAGTTAACTAAAAAATATGTTAGTCTATGCAAAGTTGACTGTTATAAAAAACCTAAAATATTTATTAGACACTAAGGCCAGAAGATATCCAAGCTAAACAGGAAGCGCTAGTGCTAGCCGCTGCTGGTGCCACATAAATAGGAACGGTTCGGCTTTGTAGATGTTTATAAAACACCACTGTGATTGATTCATGCTGTTTTAAAATAGCAGTAATCTCCGTGTTTTTTCTGGTTTTAACTAGCTGTTAGCATGTCATTTCTGTCAGATCTTTACTTCTTTAATCTGTGTTCATTAAAAATATGTTAGAGATGAATCACTTACAGCCTTTCTGCAAAATCCAGCATCAAAATTCCTGAATGGTCGATTTAAGTTTCAAAGCAGATAAGATAAGGAGAAGGAATTTCTGCTTCTGACTTTTCCTGAATCGAACTTTTCTAACATTGCTGCCCCAAAACTCAAAGAAAAACGTGCAATGTGGTTGGAAAGTTTCACACACAGTCCATCATAAAACATTTTCTCATGTAGTTTATTTTCTTGATTTATTGCACCACACAAAATCCAAAAGGTGGTGTGTGCATGTACTGAAAGACTTTATTATTTCAGTGTACGATGATCCATAAGAGTGCTGCTGAAAAGCAGTCAGCCATGGTGCAGCTGAAGCCTTTTGGATCCCTGAAGTGAAGGGTGAAGACCCCCAGCAACAGGAGTCATCTTTTTTTGACTTTTACACTCTCAGGATCAAATTACAGAATGATTATGTCAGCAAGCCCTGCAATCTAAACTGGTTCCCAGTCCCAGCGTTGGTCATCAAGTCATCTTTGTTCCTCTGAAAGTGGCTGATCTAAGGTTATCGGGGTACAATGACAAGAATCAGACGTAACTGACTGGAACTTCATACTCCACACACACACACACACACACACACACACACACACACACACACACACACACACACACACACACACACACACACACACACACACACACACACACACACACACACACACACACACACATACACACCCACACACAGTGCTCGGGACAAATTCCAGTTCACATAAGGTTAAGTAAGGAAACAGCAGGAATGGCTTAAAGCATCGGTGAAAACTGCTTTTGTGCAATAATGTGACACTTTTCCATTATCACCTGCATGGTCGAAGAGTGTTTTTTTTTTTTGCCTGATTTCACTGTTTTAGAGACCTGATCACCCTCAAACTCACATCCTTGATCCCATTCCCCAAATTTAAGCAGACCATCCAAAATGCAATAGTTGACTGTTGCTCCAGCTGACAGTACTGAAAATGCACATGTAAGCTCTCTTACCTTTACTTCATATTTAGCTCTTAATGTAAATGTTTGTACTTTGTTTTATTTTGGATGCATTGTCTGCTTTACTCACATGCAGCCTGGTTGCCAGGTCATGTTTGAAAACGAGAAGTGCTCCTCAAACTGTTTACCTGGATAGATTAAAGAAAATAAAAAAACAATACAACCGCTGACCTTGGAGGGGGTCTCCTGAAATGCATCAGTTTACAGGAACATAGGGATCGAGCCCCCACCCCCACCCCCACCACCACCACCACCGCCCCACCCCACCCCCCGCGCTGGGGCAGCGATAAGGCCCAGCGATTACAGGAGTTATGCATTATTTATCCAGTTCCTTCCACGTGTTCTGTTTCTGGCGTGGTCCCGGCTCAGACCTCTGATTGGACACACCTTCCACGCCGGGTTCTCGCTTTTGTAGCTGGGGGCGGGACCCGCGCGTCTTTTGCGCGCGTGATTGGCCCAAACTTTGGAGAATTTACAGCCTTTTCCCCGCGGGTTCGGGGAGCAGTTTGCTCGTTATAAATACGGCCTCCAGCTGGGAAAACAAAATGAGCATCGCCGTCCGACGTATCTGTGTGCAGCCACCGCTCCATGAAAGTGAAAAGGATGTTGCAGCAAGCTCTCCGAGTGTCCGTCCGCAACGCCTTCCCGCTGGTGAAGTGGATGGAGAGGTGGTCCGAGGGCGCAGCAGCGGTCAGTCCGCCGGGCTGCAGCCGACAGGCGGTCAGGACGCTGGACGACATGCCCGGACCCACGGTCTCCAGCTTCGTCTGGGACTTGTTTGCAAAGAAGGGTCTGACTCGTCTGCACGAGTTACAGGTGAGGAAGATTAGCGGGGAAAGGTGCGAAGTGCACGAGTTGGCACGATTACGCTAAACGGTTTTTGTTCTGATTTGTGTAAACGGTTGTATTTGGTGCCTCCAGAGGCTTAGATAAATACTGGGAAAGCTTCTAATGAAGAGTAAAGAATGACTTCGTGAATATTTTCTGTGTGCGCGCGTGTACGCGTGCGCGCGCAACACTCCAGTCTTCATTTGTCACCATCCACAGCCAGCCCTGCTTTTTTTCTTTTTCTTTACTGCATACCATAACTTTTTGGTTCGTTTTTTGCAAGAGCCTGCAGACATCCTCCTACAGCTTCCTAACATATCAGCCGTCCAACAGTCTGCAGGGCTAATTATTATTTGTTGGTTGTTGTAAATAATAACAAAACATCTTTTCTCATGTCCTAGGTGGATGGACTCCACCGATATGGTCCCATGTGGAAGGCGAGCTTTGGCCCCATCCTGACTGTCCACGTGGCCGATCCAGCGCTCATAGAGCAGGTCCTGAGGCAGGAGGGCCAGCATCCCATGCGCTCCAACATCTCCTCCTGGAAGGACTACAGGAAGCTCAGGGGATACCACTGTGGACTCTTGACATCGTGAGTAATAAAGATATTGGCCCGTATCACAGGGGTGCATTGCCTCGTCCTGAATGTGTCAGAATAGTTGGGTTGAGATGGTTCTGAAAGACTCTGCATCCTCACAGCGAGGGCAAAGAGTGGCAGGCGGTGAGAAGTCTCCTGGGGAAGCACATGCTGCGGCCGAAGGCAGTGGAGGTTTACGACAAAACCCTGAACAGTGTTGTCACTGACCTGATCACCAAGCTTCGCCTACGCAGAAACTCTCAGGGCCTGGTCACCGACGTCGCCAGCGAGTTCTATCGCTTCGGCTTGGAGGGTAAGATTAGAGCCAGCTGCACACAGGAAAACTATGGAATATCATCACTTTGTCAATCCTATTTTCATGGAATGTTCTGACCCACATTAACGTGACTCTGTCTGGTCGGTTTCCGGCAGGTATTTCGTCGGTGCTGTTTGATTCCAGAATCGGTTGCTTGGATGCGGTTGTTCCCAAGGAGACGGAGCGTTTCATCCAGTCCATTAACACCATGTTCGTGATGACCCTTCTCACCATGGTCATGCCCAACTGGATGCACCAGCTGTTCCCCAAACCCTGGAACACCTTTTGTCAGTGCTGGGACTACATGTTTGATTTTGGTAGGCTGAATTAAAACCGTTCATCAAAATAGTTTGATGCAAACAGGAAGGGTTGAAAGGATAGCAGGTTTGAGTTTAAGTTCCAACATGAAAACAGAAACCAACATTTAGTCGGAGCGTTTCTTCCTCGCCTCTTTTTGGCTGCTGGTGGTTTCCTCCCAGCTCGGCGGACTTAACGCCGATCTGAGTCATCAAACATGTTTAAAATAATCACCTTAAATCAGAAAGCCGGAGGTTAAAGTCTTTAACCCTCACGTGCTGCAAGATCATCAGCCCTGACATGAGCACGGAGTCCTGGATGTCAGAGTTAATGCCCGAGTGGCATGATCTGGTTTCAGAGGGGTTAAGACTTCCTGTTGTGTGTCAGCTTGACTGAATCTGCAGCATCTTTGCTCATGATTGCCTCTCATCTCCTCGTGTGTGCAGCTAAAGGTCACATCGACCAGCGCCTGGCGGAAGAAGCCCAGAAGGTCGCCAGAGGAGAGAAGGTGGAGGGTCGATACCTCACCTACTTCCTCTCTCAGACGGGAATGCCCATGAAGACCGTCTACAGCAACGTGACCGAGCTGCTTCTCGCCGGAGTTGACACAGTAAGACCCACTTCTTCATGTCAAAATTCTTCACTTGATTTAGTTTTTTGTCCAAGCAGAAACAAAAAAAAAAGTTGTTTTCATCTCAGATTTCCAGCACCTTGTCCTGGTCTTTATATGAGCTGTCCCGTCACCCGGAGGTCCAAGCTGCGGTCAGAGAGGAGGTTCTGACTGTACTGGGGGGTCGGAGGGTACCTGAAGCTGCAGATGTGGCCTGCATGCCTCTCCTGAAGAACACGGTCAAAGAGGTTCTCAGGTAAGTCTCAAGGTTTTTCTTATCCAAGCCCCTTTTAGGATCTCCAAATTGAACTTAACCTTTTCACATGAATTCACATGATAGGGTGGGGCCAGACTTCACAATGAGCTCACCCGAAACTCTTGCTGAATAGGACCCACACCCACCCTCACACCTTGGCTCATGTGTTTATGTAGAAGATCATCAGGGGGTCTTTTGTTCCCTCTTCGGGGGGAAACTCCCACTGGGTTTAAATCTGGGACTCTCCACCATTTGAACTTAGAACTGAAGAAGCCTCTCGGATGAGAGGTGAAACGTCTTCAAGCAACTTAAACGGACGCTTTTCTTTCAAGCTCCTTAGACTACAATGACCTGGATGACTGAGAACCTTCACAGACAACTTAACCTTTATTTATTTATTTTTGTTTTTTGTGTGTTCCAGGTTATATCCCGTCATTCCTGCTAACGCAAGAGTCGTTCCTGATAAAGACATCCAGGTTGGAGGCTACCTCATTCCTAAAAATGTGAGTCCTCTCACCAGACGAACATCGGTGGATCTGTTTTGAATTTTGCTAAGCTCTAATAGAAAAAAAAAATCTGCCCCCCAGACTTTGATCACCTTGTGTCAGTTTGCAACGTCCCGGGATCCTGCAGTTTTCTCGAATCCAAACGACTTCTATCCCTATCGCTGGTTCAACAAGGACCGGTCTCACCACCCGTACGCCTCCATTCCCTTCGGCGTGGGAAAGCGTAGCTGCATCGGGCGCCGCATCGCAGAGCTGGAGCTCTACCTTGCTCTCTCTCGGGTGAGTTGGGTCGTACTTGTCCCGCCTACGAAGGCTGAAAACTGGGCAGTTATACTTCTATGTGGTCATTTTTAGTCACAGACCAGAAGTTAGTCATAAAAGCAATTCGTACTCAAAAGAAGAGTTCATGCGATGAGAGACGAAGAGGGAGTTTTAAGTTGTTATGGATTCCAGCTCCTGATGAATTAATTGGATTATGTAATCCAGGGATTTTCCTGGCCAGCACTTGTGTCTTTGTTTATTTGTTTACAGTCCTAATCTGTTTACTTTCTGGTCTCCGTAGATCCTGATAGAGTTCAATGTAAAGCCTGATCCTGAGGGAGTTTCAGTGAAGCCCAAGACACGGACACTTCTAGTTCCAGAAAATGCCATTAGCCTCCAGTTCATTGAGCAATGACCTGCTCTACTTTTTTTTTTACATTAGTAAACATGAGTCGTCCTCCCCCCTCCTCCTCCTCCTCCACCGCCATCACCCCTAACCCACATACACGGGAATGGGAGAGAGCTAGCAGGATTCGTTATCACAGGGACCAGGAGGTTGCTCCACGCGGCGGTTCGTGTTGGAGCGGGTCTTCAACCTTTGACACCGAAACACAGAGCCTTCCTCACCTGCAGCTCAGAGCGCCAGGGGGCCTACGTGGGAGAGAAGACGAAGCTCATGGAGGTCTTTCCTTGGCGAGGTGTGACCACAGATCAAACAAGTGATCGCCGTTCCCACTTAAGCCACCATGAGTCCAACCAGAACCTGTTATTTTCTTGAATCTGCAACAACACAGCTGTGTTTAAAGCAGGTGAATTATTTTGCACTTTTTAAACATGCATCATCATAAAGTTACTGTCAGATTCAAAGAGCATGTTCGTATATGCACTCATCTTAAGAAAAAGCCTCAAACTGGTGCATGGGAAATGCTGTTTCTCATTCTGGAAAGCTGTGGAGATTTAAACATGCTAACAGGTGCAAACGGGGGAGAAAATCCTACTAAAAGTACTTTTTCTAAAAGGCAGCTTTTGTGAACGTACCTGTGCAGGATGACATGGTGCTACTGAATTTCCACACACCGGTACGCTCTTATTTTGTTTTCTATTCAACCAAGAGTTCGTCTGCATTTGTTTTCTTTTTCTGTTTTTAATGTTGAAGTTACTGTTGGTGATGCTGCGCTTTCTTAAAGATGTAAAAATGTAAACATGTATTTATTTTCATGTAGCACAACCTGAAGCTGTTACTGTAAATACATTTTGCCTTGCTTAGGAAAAGTTGTCCTCTTAAACTCTGATGTGGTGTTACAGATTAGTTCTTAAGCCGATCAAACCAGTTTCTTATTTCCTGAAGTTTGATACAGATTATTTATGACTATTAGCATTAACAGGAAGCACAATGATGCCAGGCCTCTTGTATAATGTGACCAAGTTGGACGCTGTGGTTTTCACCAGCTTTCTGCTGTGGACTGAATGAAAGACCCCTGAAGACGAGTGTGTCTCACTCTTATTTAGACATGAACGCCATACAAAGCTCATGAAAAAAGGAACTTGCATTCATTCTGAGCACAATCTAAATCTAAAGCAGGATAAAGGTGATTCATGTTTCTGTCATTGTTCCTAAAATAGACATATTCCACAATAGGAAACAAACATCCAACAAATCAGCAAAGATATTTTGAATGTTTGTTATTTTAATAGTAAAGTAACACCATCGCTAATAATGGTTATTTTATAGATTTGTGTATACTTTATTATTTCTGATTGGCTTAATGAACTGTGAATTGGAATGTTTATTATGTGAAGTGCCTTGAGACGACTCTTGTTGTGATTTGGCGCTATATAAATAAACTTGAATTGAATTGAATTATAGGAAAACTAGTTCAGATATTTGCAATCTTAATTTTAGGCAGAGGAATGCAGCTGTGGATAGGTGGTGATGAAACCCCAGTACAAAACTATAAGAATGATGACATCGTTTATACTGTGAGTGACATTTAAGGTGCTTGTAAATACAAGAAATGGAGTTCTCTGTGGCTCATTTTACAAAGAAACAATTAAATTATATGTAACAAATATGCAGTTTATCATTTAAGTGTCAAAACAGTCATTTAGATTTTTTTTTCAGAATTTTTAAATAGCTGTTGAGATTCATTTTCAGATCAATTGAATATTTGTTTGCACTTGTTGTAATACCATGTGTTAAATTTGTATTCTAATTAAAAATGTAATTTAAAATTGAAGGAATATTTGTATTTAAAAAATATATCAATCAGATGGAGGGTACCGCAACAGCCTGTACCGCTCCAGTCCACCAGAGGGCGAGAGAGTGCATTACGTCTGTTTTTAAAGCCAGGGTTGAGCAACATAGCGGCTAACGCTAACAAGGTGGAATGTTCATGCTAAACATGTAGCCGATGTAAGAAAAAACCCTCCCTATACAAGCAAGAAAGGAACATATAAACGAAGTTATCGACGTTTCTAGTAGTAGGATACAAGTAGTGAAAGGTGAGTTAGCAATGCTAGCTGTATTTTCGTGTAAATTAATGCCATTTGTTGTAGGAGATGCTAACTTTGCTAACGGCATCATATAACAACTTTTTCTTGCTTTGACGTAATTTTATGATTTATTTGATTGTACCTCGTGATTTTGTTTGTGCCAACCCCATCTCAACGGATAATAATGTTTATGTTGACTAATATTTGATAGCTGAAGAAAACGAGAGAGGCCCTACGCTAACTCATGTAAACAAAAGTGCCGCACAGTTTGTTTACTAGTCTACACGTACAACTGATAAATATGTACAAAATGTGGGTACACCGTGATTCGTATTAAAATGTTTGATACATTTTATATCAGACAAGTTTCACTAAAGTCTGAACCGTCTTGACTTCAAATATGTCTCTTCACCCAAACCATCTTAGTCGCAGTGGATTCCGTTTAAATGTATTTGTTTGTTTTGTTTTGTTTTTACTTGTGTGAGTAATTAATAGAGAGCACAGACTCGGCTTCACAGCAAATGTAAAACCACTTTAAAATATATCGTTTTATCAACCTATAAATGTTATCAAAGTAAATCAGCAAATGGTATGACCCTAACGTTTGGACACACCCACTTATATTTAAACGTATGGCTCCCTTATATTAAGCTGGAGCTGTATGACAGTGTTTTAAGTCCCATCTAAAACGGTTTTAGCTCATTTCTTGCATTTTCTGTAGTGAATGAAGAGATGCAGGCGGGTGACCCTGTGATTGGTGCATCAATGGGAGTTGCAGGTGGTCAGAGCCGGTCAGAGGATGAAGAGTCACTCTGTGTAAAAGACATTAAAAGGACAGCAACACAAGCTTTTGGAAGTGGTGTTCCCAAACGAAGAAGTTCATCCAGGTTTGTATTTTGAACCATTTTTATAATTTCATTGATTGGGAACAGACTCAAATATTGTTGCAATGATACTTTTGTATTAAAGCGTACCTGTGCATATGTCTACCCAATAAGGTCAATAAAGAGGAAGAAATTTGATGATGAGCTTGTGGAGAGCAGTCTGGTGAAGTCGTCCAGTAGAGTCAAAGGTCCTACCGTCATAGAGCCGATTCGCTATTCGGGCAGTGAACCTTCATCTGTTGAGAAGAAAAAGGTCTGAAACCCTTCAACGCTATTCACTCTTAGAAGAGCTGAAGACAAATGATGTGATAAACCTGAGGAGTGTGCTGATTCACCATTTAATCAATGCATCGCTATAAATAAATAAATGCTGAAAAACAGCTGTGAAGCGTGGCAGGAACATAAAAGTTGCGAGTGCTATCCAGACACTTAAGGGGGGAAAAAAAAAAAACAGCAATGGTGTAAGCATGTTTCTCAGCTTCAGCCACTTAGCTTGAGATTTACTCGTCAGGAAAATTGTGTAAAACTAAAATAAAATGCAACACTACCAACATGCGACAGCACCTTAGACATTTCCATTGTTGTCTGCAACTCCAGCCTTTTTCATAAAACTGCAGCGTTACTTTAGCCCCATTCCCACCTGTACCGGGTCGGCCCGGGCCGGGTAGCCCCAGTCGGCCCCAGCCTGGCCCGGTTGATTCCACACATCCTTGCCTTAAGCCCATGTGGGCTGATTCTACCCACCAATCAGAGGCTTGCTCTAATGGAAGGTGTGAATGGGCTGATTCTACCCACCAATCAGAGGCTTGCTCTAATGGAAGGTGTGAATTTGCTGTCAGCAGTGGGCGTGTTGGCCCTGGTCGGCCTGAAGCAGTACCCCTCGGGAAGAGGGCCGAGAATGAGCCTTGGTTGGCCCGGGAAAATTCCAGGCCACCCAGATATGTAAACAACCTATGCTACCCGGCCCGGGCCGACCCGGTACAGGTGGGAATGGGGCTTTTGCTGCAAAGCTGAAGCAGCACCATGAAGCCTTTGTTGTTTAGTAGTGGTCCGCCTGTGGCACAATCATGTGGTTTCACAAAGATTACGCGATGGTGGTACAAAGTGGGTGTGGGGATTGTCTCCTCACCATCACAGACTCCCCTTTAGCTTGAACATAACTTGTTTTTATGCCAATTGAAGCAACGCTCCTTACATTTTTTCATGAGCCACTCCAAAAGGAGTCTCTTCTTCACATTTCCCTTGAACTGTCTGTTGATCTGAGCTTCAGATCTACATCCAGAAGCTCCCAGATCTCTGCATCGCTCCAGTTTGCCATTTCAGCTGATTCTGTGTATAAAAGCGAAACTGACTGCCTGTTTTTCTTTTTCAAAATTCATCCTGTAGATTTCATTCAAAAGTATTTAGGGTATATGTCCAGGCTCACATGAATAATCTAGTAACTTGGTAACTTGAATCAATCAATGCTGAATTAATTTGGAAGTATGAAAAAGCTGTGGCGTGAGAAAAAAATTCTAAACGGTGAAAACATCCATCAAAAATTATGATAATTGTTTAATAATTGAATCGTAGGTCCCTGTGAGGTATCAAAGATGTCACACCCCTAATGAACCTGCATGGGATGCTTGTATCAATTACTGATGTTTGTTTTATTTTTATTTTTTTCCTGTTAGGTGTCAAAATCAGGAGGCGCTCTCACCCCTCCCTTGACAATGGTATTAAACTCTGCACCCATGCCTAAAAGAGTGAAGAAAAGCAAGCAGCCGATGCATATCACTAAAGACTTGGGACGATGGAAACCCACAGATGATTTACTGCTGATTAATGCTGTGTTACAGGTGAGCAGTTCAACAAAACAGACGTTCGCTTCACTGTCAGATCCATCAGGACAAACCCCTTCAATCTGTGTGTGTGTGTGTGTGTGTGTGTGTGTGTGTGTGTGTGTGTGTGTGTGTGTGTGTGTGTGTGTGTGTGTGTGTGTGTGTGTGTGTGTGTGTGTGTGTGTGTGTGTGTGTGTGTGTGTGTGTGTGTGTGTGTGTGTTTTCTTTGCTTTTAGACTACTGATCTAACTGCTGTTCATCTCGGTGTCAAGTTCAGCTGCCGCTTCAGTTTGCGGGAGATTAAAGAGAGGTGGTACGCTCTGCTGTATGACCCCGTCATCTCTAAGTAAGAGACCGTCCTCAAGCCTGTCTTCTGTTTTCTCTCATTTCTACAGTTTCCTGTTAGTTAAGCTCGTTTTTGTTTTTGTTGTGAGTAGGCTAGCATGGCAGGCTATGCGGCAGCTTCATCCTGAAGCAATTGCAGCAATTCAGAGTAAAGCGCTCTTCAGTCAGGCTGAACAGACACTGCTGGCAAAGATTGGTTCAGTAAGTAACCTTAAACCTTTTTTTTTATTAAATATATTTAAGAACTTGCTAGTGCTCTAATAATGAAGATGCTGTTGGTAAATGAATCAACACAAACCCTTTACAGCCTCTTGTAGTTTGCTGTTTTTGGCACATAATGGGATTGCTTTTTCTTTCTAAACAGGCCAGTCAGCCCAAACTGGACATATTCCAGGAGCTTCTAAGCAAACATCCGAGTGTCTTTCACCCCTCTCGCACGCCTAAGAGCCTGATGGTTCACTGGCAGCTGCTTAAGCAGTACTACCTGCTGGATGATCAGAGTGGTAAGTTCAGACACACACACCTCAGCTAGAGTCCACTAAAACCCAGGAGCTTTCATGTACACAGTTGGGATTTAAATGGTCATTAAAACAATCCTAAGTGATGTTAATGCTATTATTAGACCAAGAAATCAGCTATGTGGAAGAATACTCAAGTAAACCATAAATAAACTGTGTGTTGTTTACTGGTTGTGTTTTGCAGTACAGCCCCTCCCTAAAGGTGACCAAGTCCTCAACTTCTCTGATGCTGAGCAGATGGTTGATGATGCAAAGTTAAAGTGAGAATCTTTATTTTTATTTTATTTTTTTCTGTTTTCAAGAGGTCAGATCATTTTTGTCCCAAGTGATCGAGCAGCTTTCTGTCTCCTCACACAGGGAGAATAGAGACGAGGTGCTGGAGCACGGTGAGTGTTAACACACCTAAACTACTACTGTCTCTGACACTGTCCTCTTGTTTGTTAAAGGTTAAGCCTGAAATAATAAATATATAATAAAAATAAATAATAATTCCTCCCTTATTCAGACTTGCTGGTCTTTCTACAGAAGTGCAGGAAAACCCCGTGGCCTTCCGTGTGATTCCAGTCGTAACTCTTAGTTCATTCAAGGACTTTTATTTTTTTAAACAATTTTAGGAAATGTATCTTTAGTGCATCTCTTCACCTAGACAGGAGAATGACTTCATTATTAAGTTATCAGGATTTCTAACTTTGATCAAATATTCTCATTTGGCTGTCTGTCAGACTGCAGACTGGGATTAGATTAGCAGACTAATTCCAGTCTCTCTGCCGTCTCTTCTCAGAGCTGATGATTTCAGATCGCCACCAGAAGAAGGAGATCAGACAGCTAGAGCAGGAGTTGCCTCGCTGGCAGGTTCTGGTGGACAATATCACGGGTAGACTGGCTCTCATGCAGAACAGTCAAACGGCCTATCTGCCTTTTTTATTTGTGGAAGATCTATTTTTGATTTCCTGTTTCTTTGCCATCAGGGATGAGCATGCCTGACTTTGACAATCAGACACTGGCGGCATTACGAGGAAGAATGGTCCGCTACCTCATGAGATCAAGAGAGGTGAGGAGAAAATGTGGGCAGGGGTGAAATAAATTCAACGTAAACTGTGTTTTCTTACTGATAGTTTCTGTGTTGCATACAGATTACTTTGGGGAGAGCAACAAAAGACAAACAGATTGATGTAGATTTGTCGCTAGAAGGGCCTGCCTGGAAAATATCCAGAAAACAAGGTGACTATCAGAACATTTATGATTTAGTGTTGGTTACAGAAAAAAAAACAAGATTAAAAAAACAAGCAACAAATAAGTGTTTTTCTTTTTTTGTAATATTCAAGATTCAAAGCTTTATGTCATGAGCTCAGTGAGGAAATTTTCACTTTTTCTGCCAACACAGGACTCCAAAAAACCATTTAGGCAAAAAAATACATGCTAAGATAAAAAGAAGCTTTTAAAAATGCATTAAACCAATAAAAAACTAACTGTACCGAAATGTAAATTATACAGCTTTAATTTAGCCTTTATCCAGATGAGTCAGTTGAGAACTCATTCTCATTTACGACGACGATCTGAACAAGAGGCAGCAGCAACAGACACATAGTTAGCTTCACGTCAAAGAAAAACAGGTAAGATAGAAAAATACAAGCTAAAAATAAGAGTTAGACATAAAGACAACAGAGAACGCTGTCAGCAGCGCTGTTATACTTTAACGCCGTTACTCCCAGCACTGGTAGTGAGATGCAGATTATACAGATTATGCTGATAATACCAGTATCACAAAACAACAAAAACAGTTTAATAGTCAGAAAGTAGAAATAAAGTGTCCATGAAGGTTCATCAGCTCAGCAGTTCCAGAGTCTATTTACTCTTAAATGAAGATCATTTACATGAAGAACAGTTGTGATGTTTTTAAAACGTAAAACAGTTTTGATTTTTGAGTCTGGAAAAAGACGATGAGTTCTGCTGCAGAAACAAACGAGTAACTTAGCATGAAGCTGCCAGAGGGGGGCGCTGTGTAAAAGCTGATGTCTCAAAAGGATAACTCAGGAGTTTAACTGTCAGCACACTGACACCTGCTGGACTTACTAATGAACTAAACCTATAACATTTTCTTAAAGGGGCATTAAGGAAGTTTTACAGCCAAAACATGTATAGAAATAATAAACTTCTTCTTCATATATTCTCCTGCAATGTCCTGTAGAATGAGCCCTGGCATTTTTACTGTGATTGCCTGTTTTTCTGTAAAATCACAGAAAAAGAGAGCTGCTCGGGTCGAGCAGGCTGCTTCATGTGCGTTCACGCTCAGGCATCGCCCGTAGCATTTGCTATCCGTAGCAGAGAGAGAGGTAGTGCCAACTCAGTGACTTTGTCGCTGTTCCTAACGCCTAGTGACAAACCTAGCTACATTTCCGAGGACCCTTAGCTACTTTCTGTAGAACTTTCTTCTAGATATTTCCTGCAAATTAGCAACAAAACAGCCATTTTCGCTGCAAATCGTTCTTTGGTTTGACGTTGTTTCATCTGTCATCAAGGATATAAAAGTTACAGATACTGTGAATGTTACTAGAGTGTAGCTCACCTTGTAAGGTGTCTGACTCCCATGCAGAAGACCTGAGTTCAATTCTGGATGTGAACATAGTTCATTTAGAGTTTCTTTTTTACATTAATGGTATATTTTTTTACAGTAAGATGCCCAAATTTTTATTTGAGACTCGCCGAACGGCATTGAATTCGCAGATAAAAAAGATGTGGGTTCAACTTTCATTGTGGAACAATTTTTCAAGCAAGGGAAGGGAATGATCTGAGCATGCAGGAGGACTGACCCATCATAAACCTTAGTCGGCTGTGCTGAAGAGAAAGGTACAGAACCAAATTATTTTATTAATTAGCTGCACGTTCTCCTGTCCTCTGGGCCACACACACACACACACACACACACACACACACACACACACACACACACACACACACACACACACACACACACACACGGGACTGTCTCAGCTGTTATTTTCATTAAGGAGTGTGCACGTACAGCATGCGCACCTCGTGCACGAGCCTACTATTGAAGCTGCCGTTACGCTTTTGGCCTGAGGGGGCAATCGCATAAAAATTTAAAACTTAAAGTCCCTTTAAGATGAAAGGGTTAGAAATAAATAAATCATACAACAACAACAACTGGGTATTTGTGAGATTGTGGCTGTGATTTTGAAATGTTACAGATGAAGGGTTCATCATGACTTCATGTAGTGTGACGTGTTGCTTTTGCAGGAGTAATTAAGCTGAAGAATAACGGAGATTTCTTCATCGCTAACGAGGGCCAGCGGCCCATCTACATCGATGGCAGACCGGTCCTGTCGGGCAACAAGTGGAAGCTAAACAACAACTCAGTGGTGGAGGTATGTTTATGTTTTAAGATGAACAACCAGGTGAGAAAAGTTCCACAACATTTCCTCTCTGTCTCTTTAGATCGCAGGTCTTCGTTTCGTGTTCCTAATAAACCTGGACCTCATCTCGCTGATCAAAGCTGAAGCCGCTAAGATGACGCAGCAGTGAGCGCTGGCGATCCAGCTGGGGAACCGGCCGGCTGTGTAGAACCGCGACTACAGAACTGGACCTGAACAGCCTGTAGCTAAACCCTGGAGCCGAATGGAAACAGAGTTGATGTGGTTTAACAATAAGTCCTTTCCTATGTAGACACTGATGCTAGAGCCACGTGTTTTCAGTTTTTCACAAAGTTGTATTTAATTTTCTCATCAAGCCTTTTTAAAATAATAAACTTGTACTCAGAAAATCCAGGTGTGTCTACAGTTTTTGCACCATTAACATGACGTTTGTACATTATCTGCTTCAGTTAAGTGGCCGTAAGTTCTGGTGCACAAAAATCCAGCGTTCCTGGAAAAAAGTCTTTCAAGGGTAGATTGCACAATAATCTATTAATAAGTCTCAGTAGGTTTGACATGAAGGACTTTTTGTTCTGACTTGTTCCAGATTAATTTATGTGAAGTCAGCCATTTAAGAATTAATTCTTGGGGTACAGAACACTTTCTGCTAGTTGTCCATGACTCAACGCTTATAATTCATGTTGCATAAATGAAATATTTTGTCTGAAGTCGTAAAACTCCCATTTTGTTTTCTGCAACACATTTTTTCACTTAACAGGTGAAATGATTCTGCAGGTAATTCTAGATAATAAGTAAATCTGTTTAATGACTGATTAAGACAAGTTGTGCATCCAGCTGACTCAACAGCTGGGATTCATCATCACAAAGTTTTGTTTTCAGTCTTTCTGTAAGGAGTTTGTGTTTTCTTTTAAACATTTGGCCACAGCTGTAGTCGTCGGAGAGGCCGATTAAAAGGGCCTAACGTTTGTTCTCAAAGGTTAAACCTATTTCTAAACGTTGTGCGATGGCGTCGTGTTACTTTGACAATCCAGAGCAGAGGAGTCCTACAACTGTGTTAGCAGAGACCAACATCCCTGCTGAGTCATTTACACTAACAGGTCAAACAAAAGCTGCACGCTATTAAAGTTACATTACAAAATGCCTAATTAAACGCTCCTAACTAAAAAAAATGTCATTATAAAGTGGGCGTGTCTGGTTCATTTTTATTTTCAGCCCCAAACTGATAAGACTTACAGATCCATACCTCTTGTAAACGACATCAACAATTTTTCTTTTCTTTAATTCTCTTAAATCAATCATAGTGATTCATGATTATCATTATTATAGATTATTGATAAAAATCTGCTTATTTGCCATTAGTCTACATTTTCCACATAAACTGCACAATAAACCTTAATAAACTCCACGTGTATGCTGTACTCCTTTAAGTATTGTGTTCTTGCCTGATGTCTTTAATCTGAATGTTAAGGCAACAGTTTTGTCTGTGAGATGTTTGAATGAACAACAGGATTAGAAAAGACCACCGTCTGCAACGGTGTCGGTGTTCCAGCGATCAGCAGCTGGAATGTCATCTGTCAACAACTCTAATGAAAAAATCTTTAACTCCAAGTCAGATGTAATCTTGTACTCAGCAGGAAAGTTGCTGACACACACACACACACAAACACACACTCTATTGGATGTTTAGAGCATAACTTCTACTGTGCTTGACATGAATTGGTCTAATTACCCTAAATGAATTCATTCCTGCTGCAAACATCTGGACAGGATGGCTCAAGTTTTAAAACGTTAGCCTGCTATTGTAGATTGTTGTAAAATGATTGTAGATAAGATGTGATGCTTCCTGATCCCACATAGGGGTTTTTATTTGCCTTCAAACAACTTCAGTCCTTGTTTAGGAGTGACGTTGCACGGGTGTATCATTTAACTATAAGAATATTTATTACATCTATTCATTTACTGTAAAATGGTGGAGTTTAAGTTTCTCAGGGTCTTGTTCACGAGTGAGGGAGAGATGGAGCGTGAGATCGACAGGCGGATTGGTGCTGCGTCTGCAGTGATGCGGGTGTTGTACTGGTCTGTGGTGGTGAAGAGGGAGCTGAGCTGGAAGGCAAAGCTCTCGATTTACAGGTCGATCTACGTTCCTACCCTCACCTGTGGTCATGAGCCTTGGGTAGTGACAGAAAGACTGAGATTGCAGATGCAAGCAGACAAAAATGAGTTCTCTCTGCAAGGTGTCTGGGCTCTCCCTTAGAAATAGGGTGACAAGCTCAGTCATCCTGGAGGGGCTCAGAGTAGATCCGCTGCTTCTCCACATCGAGATGAGCCAGTTGAGGTGGCGCCTCCTGGATGCCTCCCTGGTGACGTTTTCCAGGCACGCCCAACCGAGAGAAGACCTAAAGGAAGACCCAGAGCACGCTGGAGGGACTATGTCTCTCAGCTGGCCAGGAAACACCTTAGGATTCCCTCAGAAGAGCTGACCCAAGTGGCTGGGGAGAGAAAGGTTTTGGCCTCTCTGCTTAGGCTGCTGCCTCCGTGACCCAACTCCGGATAAGCGGAATAAAATAGATGGATGGATGTTTACTGTATTAATATGACAGATTTGCTACAGTTATATTTTGGGTGCAATCACGTCAAAAGCTTGCAGCATAGACTTTTTTTTAAGTATCAACAGGCTTCCATAAGTGTAGCCTGTTTGCTGTGAAACTGCTGAGGACAAACTGTCAAAAATAGTAAATAAGATTAGAGTACCTTTATTTTGGTGTCGTCTTCATGGCTCAACATCAGCTCTGCTGAAGGGCTCAGTGCGTTTTGTTTTGCTTAGATGATCCACATTTAGAGATAATACTGATGTTTCACTTGTTTTCACATTAAAATGTTCTATTTATCCTAAAGGGTTCAAATGAAGGCAACTGGACTTATTTGGTTTCTTGAAGATCTTTTGTTTCTCATCCGAGAAGCTATGTCAAGTCTCCTCGGATGAGAAGCGAAATGTCTTCAACAAACTAAAGAAATCCAGTTGCCTTCATTTGAACCCTTTTGGATTACCATAACCTGGATGACTGAGAACCTTCACCAGCATGTTCCATTTATGTTATCTTTCTCTTAGTTGTGCATACAGTAGATTTAAAGAAATGGAAGATTGCTTAAAACCACATTGAGCATAAAGATCATCACCTACACTTTTTGCAGTTTCAGTGTCCTCTTTGTCTCTGCCTGTGTGCTGCTGCATCGGATGCATCTAAGCTGAAAGACAGAAAACTTCTACAGTAACTTCTAAAGTAAAATAATAAAAGTGCTGGAGCCCACATATTCATTTACAGCTTTTTATTGTTCAAACAATAGTGTTTATCCACTGACAATAAATCAGAGCACGGTGCAGTGAATCGACTGTCGTCATTGTTTTTCCTGTATTTATCAAACTTGGAAAAGGCTCAGTGTTAAACAATAAAGACAGGAAACACAAGTTCTGCAGCAGGAGCTGCACTCTGGTTATTTGTGAACTTTTATGATGTTTCATTATGAATTTTGATGTGTTGGATCAACATAAATGATGACAGTGAAATTGGGATTTGCATCATCATAATGTTATGTTTAACCTGGATGGCTGCTGCTTCTAGGAATAGTCAGAGAAGAAAAGTTCCTAGAAGTAAAAGAATCTGCTCCATTTATACACCAGGGCATGTGGATGCACGTCAAGAAGGTGGAGTTTGTAAAATAAAATTATGTATCAGCCCTCATCCTACTTAAACGCAGCAGCAATAGATGCATGACCACCACGGTGTGTTTTATTCAAACATAAACAAAGGTTTGGATGCTAAAGTCAAATTTAATTTCAAATTCATTAATAAAATTGGTACTGACGAATTCGAAGCTGTGGTATTTTTCACATTGCACATGTTATCATCTTCATAATGAATTATTTTGGCAGATCAGCTCCCAATAGAAATGACTCCTTCCGCATCTTAACTCCCTTCCATGTGCTATTTACATTAGTCTTTATCTGAATGTTAAAATACTTTAAACAAATTTAACAACTTCGCTATTTTTAAAAATGCAAAAAAAAAAAAACCTCAAATGATAAAAATATTCATTTCAGTAAAACAACTCGTTCAGACTGGTTTCATTACTTTGGACAGCTTCTCATAGGGAGACTTGTCATGACTGCTCAGAGACCAGCGACGCTGGTAGCTCCAGCTTCTGCCGTTCGTTTTAACTGCACTGAGATCAGTTGTACTGATACAGTAAGCTTTTGCTTCACAAGGTTGTCAGAACTATTGATAGCCTATAGCTCGCGAAAACTGCTCCAAGATCAGCGATGCTGACAGCTCCAGCTTCAACCATGCGTGCGTTTTAACTGCTCTACGATCAGCTTTTGCTTCGGATGCTTGACAGCTGAGCTGTACTTCTTTCACTAAAACTGCTCGTAGAGCAGCGGTGCCAATAGCAACGCCAGCGTCACTTTGTGGTTCAGCTGCTCTGAGATCAGCCGTGTTGGTTTCGAGCAGAGTTCGTGCCGGTTGTTTACGTAAAGACTCAACGCTTCTGGAAGAGACGTGGTCAAGTCGGTCTCGTTCGTGGAAAGCATCAGAGTACAAGCAGAAACCTGCGACTGACACACCAAAAGTGAGTATTCTTGTGCGGAGAAATTAATTTGAACAAATATTCAGGTTGTCATGTTGTGTTTGTGAACGCGCGTGTTTGGTTGAATGAAGCGGAAGAATTCAATGTTAGCAACGTTAGCCTCAGAGATGTTCTCTCTGAATAAACGATGCTAGCTAGCTTCCATTTGTTCAGTAAACTCCTCAAACATCAATTGTCTGGTTTAAACGTGTCTTTTTGTGGTTAGTATAAAAGTGAATATAATAATCCCTTTGGTATTTCCTCCTGCTTACTCAGTGGTTCACACCAGGGTCACAGAAAGCTAGCTAGAAATCATTGTAGCAGCTTGTGGTCTTTAATCATTCACGTTTTTATTGTTACACATCGTGTTTTATTAGAAGAATGAAAATAAAAACCAAATGTCACTCTATGGATTAACCGAGAGATTAAGCGAGATAACCAAAAACTTTGATTTAACACGTTAAAAAAAAGGAACAAACTGCAAAACATGACATATTTATACATTTCATTTTGGTGTTACAGTTTTAAGTATTTTTAGAGTACAAGGAATAAAAGATCATCTTTAGGAAAAAACATTTTTAGATTCAGCTGTAAAAGAGTCACATAAGACAAATAATGCATCACTGAGTTTCTCAGTTTGCAGAACCCAGTTACTCAATTGTGTTTTAGATATTTTGCAATTTACAGTGTATAAAGAGGATTTTGGTCCAATGTACAAATATTATAAAATGTCAATTATAGGAATGAGCATATTCCGATTGTGTTTTTTTTAAATCATTATCCAGGCAGTTTAGCAACAGCCTCAGACCATCTGCTCATGTAGTTTTACTTCCTGTCTTTGGTTTATGAGGATGTGTTTTCTAAAACATTCACTCCTTAGAGTGAGCTGTCTCTGTGTTACACCCACCCAGCGTCTTCACACTAATTTTACATGTTTGTGTCAGAGCCAGAAATGTAACAGAAAAACACTTTCCCAGACTTTGTTCAGATTATGTTCTAAATAAGATATTCTGAGGATTTTTGTATAGATATTTAATCTAAATGAAATATCTAAATGTTAGATTAATTCGAGTTTCTTCGTTCTACTTTACCCAAGTTTATAGCAGCAGTGTGAGCTGCTCAATCTGAACGTAATTTTATCTAGTAAAATCCTCCACATGGCTACTCATCTGACAGCATGAGGTTGTTTTTATAGAGATCATGGATTTATTCTTTAATAGGTCAGCTGACCTGATGTGGACCAGAGAGAGCTGGGAGTGGAGTTCAGTGAACTGAATCGTAACAAGTGGAGTGACTCTAATCATGTGCTGAACTGGATTACTTGATTCTCAGTTGATGAGCAACACACCTTTTTTCTGCCTTCTCAGCGTCAGTTGTATCTACTCTTTTATTACCAGTCACTAGAACATGCAAATCATCAGAGATGGCTTACTGGAAAAAAAAATGTTTAAAGACCAAGTTCACTCGTTTTTTTCCCCAACACATTTGCAGTGGTCCCTTGTGAGTTGATCTCTGGGGAAAGAAGCTCTGGCACTCCTGTTTCAGGAAGTAGAAGTTAGTCAGAGGAGAGGGGAGCAGCACACGGCAGGTTTTGTAATCCTATTTCCTGATATTCTGACATCTCGACTCTGATTGGCTAACAGCAACATGACTTGTAGACGATAAATAATGACTATGATACAATGAGTTACTCAGGACATCATAATGTGTTTATAAAGGCTAACTGCTGTTGGAATGAATGATCTGCAGAAGCAGATCAATAAGCTTGGGGTATACTTGGCTTTTACTTAGGTCACTCTGACCAAGACATTGATGGAATGACGTAACACAGCTGGTTACTTAGGAAAACAGAACATAACAATCCCTTTCATGGTAAACTTTAGCAGGGCTCACTTCCCAGAAATAGTTTCATACTAACACAAACACATCCGGGAGTCAAACTCTGGGCAGAGCAGTGATCTGATGTTAATCAGGCCTTAGCATTGTTGATTCTACTTTTAAACACACAACACTTTGAAGCAAATAATGGGATGTTTCCACAGCAATGGTTTGATATAAATAAAACTGTGAAAGTCATGCACGCACAAAGGTCAAAGGTCACCACCCTCCACAGACTATACCACTAACTGTTTGCTGTACAATGTTAATCTTTTATCTCCACTATTAACACAAGCCTGGAGGAGTTCTGCCATGTTGTGGAGCTGCTAATGCTAATGTTTAGCTTCTACTAGCATAGCTGGTCTCTGCCTTGTCCTGAATGCTAAATCAACAACAGCCTTCCCCGTCACGAGTCAAAGTGGATGAGAAATAAGGGTAGAAGACTATTTTTATGTTTAGCCTGCATGAAAAACGGAGAGTGATTGATTATACATAAAAAATAAAGTAAAGAAATTCTCAGTGAACTTGGTCTTTAAAGCTGGATATTGCTTATTAAGTGTTGGCATAAGTCTGTTCATGGATTGTTTAGGCCTCCACCTTGAGCAGATCTCCTCAGGAGAAGCGTCGTAGTGTCTCAGCGAGACCTTCCTGGTTAGACGGAGACTAAATATAAGTAATAAAAGTGTAGTTCATCAGCAGACGGACATGTTGCCTGAGCGAGATAGCACTGTCTAATCTGAACAGCTTCTGTAGACAGTGATAAGATGGTTGTAATTGACTGATAAAGCAGAGCTACTCTTTTTAAAGCAACCTGTCACTTATGAGGAGATGGGAGTTTTTAAATATTTATTTTTAAAGCGTTAAGGAGTTTGCTTCTGCAGCGGTTTTATTCTGTTCCTAAACAAAACAGTAATATTTATTTCTGGGGAGCATTACTCGCTCATACTGTGTCTCTATATCAGGTCATCACAGGCAAACACTCATTAGATGACTTTAATTACGGATTTTTATTCAGTTGGACGACCTGTTTGTGTCTGAGAATGATCGGACTCATCTGGAGCCTGTCGACTCCCCCTCAGCTGATTCGCTCTTGTTCAGATTCAAGTTACAGCTGATTGGCCAGTTTAGTAGGAGGTTAACTATTGCATATCTAGGTATTGCAAACAGGTTTACTGTCAGTTAGTGTCTTGAGCAGCGATATACATTTACTTTTATGTAGTTGATTGGCATTTGCTAATTCTGGTTCATCTACACGTGTAAAAATCAGAGAAGTGTGTGTTTGATGTAAACACAGGAGACATTTTTAGGATTTCAATGTTTTTCTGGTGCTAATTCATGAAGTTCATAATGTGTTTTAGATTTCTAATTTATATCTGCTTTCATCTTGTGCCATACACAGTTAAATTGTGCTTTTTGTGCTATTTTCCTTCTTCATTGAATGAACTGGATGATCTCTTCCCAGAACGTCAGTGAGATGCTGCTCCTCAGACGCTGTTGCAGCCTGGCTCGATGTGGCCCCATCAGCACTCGGAGGTAAGAAACCGATGGAGACTTTTCTAAGTAGTTTGTGTGATTTTGGTTTTTATGTGCTTATGTTACATTTTATGAACACACCATGGCTTATCTATGGTGTCCAACTACTTTTTCAGACTTAAAGTGGCCCCTGCTGTGACATCATGTGCGGCTCGTTTCTGCAGCAGCGGCTCTGAGGACCAGAGTTCGTACCAGCGTGCAAACTGGAAACACATCCTGGCAGGGCTGCTAGCTGGTACAGGAGCTGTACTGGTTTATAGTCAGCACCGACACAAGGTTAGAAACACATTTCATATTTAAAAAACACACTTCCTTATTCTTTATTTGTCCCAAAGCTACTTTATGACAAGACCCTTTATCTGCTTTGCAGGATGCTGCTGCTTGTTAATTAAAAGCCATCTGGGAAACGCTGGTTGTAACTTCCCAGCAGGAGTTGCTTTGCTTTAGCTCCTCTGATGGATGCTAACAGTGATGTCGTCTCTGTTTCTGTCCAGGCTGAGCGAGCAGATGTTAGCGTGACGATCACAGAGAAGGGCTCCCTTCTTCCTGTTTTCAGCCAGGATGAGGTCACAAAGCATCGCTCTCTGGAAGACGGAGTCTGGGTTACGTATAAAGGAGGTGTCTATGACATCACAGAGTTTGTGGCCATGCACCCTGGTGGAAATAAAATCCTGCTGGCAGCAGGTGGCGCCCTCGAGCCTTTTTGGGCTCTATACGCTGTACACGACCAAGAACATGTGCTGGAAATCCTCTCTGAGTACAAGGTTGGACTCTGGTTTTATTTGATCTCTTAGATGAAAACACCTAAATGAAGAGTGGAAAAGCTCTAGAGATTATTCTGGTTTAGTCCGTCAGACTGCCCGATACAACGCTGTTATAGAAACATCCCCGCAGTGTCGACCAGCTCTGACTTCAGGTCGGTTTGTTTGTCCTTCTAGTCTGGACTTTCTCTAAACTTTAGTGACAAATACACAAGACCTGGAAGCTCCTTTAGACAAATGGATGAACATTAAACAGACTTAGCTGTGTTTGGACTGGCGTGCAACTCATCATCGCTGTAGGATGCAACACAAGTATCCTCTAAACTAAAAGGAATCGTGTTTCAGCTGTAACGTAGCACATTTCTGTCTCATTTCTCCTGAAATGAACTTCTCACTCACGCCGACTGCCTTAGCGTGGTCGCCACAGACTCGTATGAAAAGGTCTGCTGCACACGGACGGTACACACAGGAACATCTGTAGGCTGCAGACTGGCTCCTTCACAAAACACCAGTAGTGGAAAAAAATCTGTTTTCATTCATGAGCCGTCAGTCGTTACAGCCTGAAGTATCCACAGTAGCATTTCTTTGGGTTTAACAAAGTTTAGCTGAATAAACGTGAAGGTTTTAGTCCTGTTAAATGAAACTTTTGTGTTTAATCATAGGTCGGTGAGCTGTGTGAGGAGGACCTGAAGAAGCAGCGGGCCTCCAAACCATCTGATCCCTTCTCCTCCGACCCTGAGCGCCACCCCGTGCTGCAGGTCAACACCCTCAAGCCCTTCAACGCCGAGCCGCCTCCTGAGATCCTCTCAGACAGCTACATCACGCCCTCTGCTTTCTTCTTCAAGAGGAACCACCTTCCAGTTCCTCAGCTGGATCAGGCTTCATATCGGCTCCAGGTGGAGGGCCTACCACAAGGAGTGCTCTCGCTGTCTTTAGAAGACTTGAAGACTAAATTCCCCAAACACACCGTCACTGTGACGCTGCAGTGTGCTGGCAACCGCCGTGGTGACATGAACAAGGTGAAGCCTGTGAAAGGTCTGAACTGGGGCGTGGCCGCCATCGGTAATGCGAAGTGGAGTGGCGCCAGGCTCCGGGACGTGCTGCTAGCTGCTGGCTTTGAGCCAGGCGTGGCCCAGTGGGCTCGCCACGTCCAGTTTGAAGGGTTGGATAAAGATGTGACGGGTACTTCTTATGGCGCTTCAATTCCTCTGAACAAGGCCATCGGTGAGGAAGGGGATGTGCTCCTGGCTTATGAGATGAATGGAGAGGACATTCCCAGAGACCACGGCTACCCGGTCCGGGTTGTGGTACCGGGCGTGGTGGGCGCGCGGAACGTGAAGTGGCTGGGTAAGATTGTGGTCAGCGCCGAGGAGAGCAGCAGCCACTGGCAGCAGCAAGACTACAAAGGCTTCGCTCCTGGGACCGACTGGAACCAAGTGGATTTCGAATCCGCTCCTGCCATCCAGGAGCTTCCTGTTCAGTCCGCCATCACCGTACCGGCAGACGGAGCCGTGATCCACCACAGCGACGAAACGCTGACTGTGGCGGGCTATGCGTGGAGCGGCGGGGGCAGGGAGGTGATACGGGTGGACGTTTCTCTGGACGGAGGAAAGACGTGGCAGGTGGCCCAGCTGAGGAGTGGAGATAAAGGACAGGCTCCGGAGCCCTCGCCTCCACCGGGCCGAGCTTGGGCCTGGAAGCTGTGGGAGATAACCGCTCCTCTTCCTCCTGAGGCCGAGGAGCTGGAGATTATATGCAAGGCTGTTGACTCCAGCTACAACGTGCAGCCGGACACGGTTCCTCCCATCTGGAACCTGAGAGGCCTCCTGAGTAACGCCTGGCACAGAGTCACCGTCCGGCTCCGACGGGACTAGGCGGAGCCACGGGGTCAGCGTTTAACTCTAAAACAGAACCAACATGGAGGAAAAATCTGGGTTGCTGCTTATCCCTGACCCCTGAAGTATTCCACGGATTCAGCTGGACAAACGCACACTTGGTTCAAAGTGAAGACGTGATTCTGCCCACTCTGCATTTTTGCATTTTATAGAAATATATTTTTCTAAGTTAATAGATTTGAATAAGAAGAAGAATTTTAAATACTAATTTAACAAACTGATTTTAACACCCTGGCCCTGAAACACAGCTCAACAATGACGTTCTTCATCTCAATCTCACTATCATGCAGGTGGTGCAATAATAAACAGATGTTTTTATTTGTTTTTATAAGTTACTGAATGTTTTGCACATTTGTGGAGGAGCCTCTAGTGACTAAAACACGAGACTAGAGACTAGGAGCTCATTAGAGATGTCTAGTGCCACATTTCACTTTCATTTAACATAAAAAATCGAATGATTAAAAGTTGCAGGTGAATAAGGAGGGGAGTGGTGAATAAAATACCCAGTAATGTGGGGTAACTGCACCCGTCACCCTGATCCCTCATCTCTGCCAGCTTTTTACACACCGACTTCATTCTGAATTACCGTAAATATTGGATCACGTCTCAACTTTTCCGTTGCTGAATCTTTTGCTGCTTCAGTGTGAAAGCGGCCCCCGTGCCAGCGCTGCACACCTCAACTCTCATCCGTCATCCTTTCATCTGTCTGCACAAAAATGGCAGCATTTTATTTTTCCACCATGTCTGCGTCCTGGCACGAAGATCATAACTGAACACATTGAAATAATATCTAACTTTTCATGAGATCATATAAAACATGCTCAGCTAGCGAGCTATTTTATTTACACTGTCAAAATAAACCAGATGGTATGTTTACAGTGTGAAAGACTGAAGATGCCGTTCTTTTTTGCTTTAGCGAGCCCCCAACAACACTTAATTACTGTTTTCTGAACATCTGGAGATGTGGTAAACAGGATTTAAGAATGACTCAAACCACCTCCTCAAAATTGTGTTTAAGGACGTAAAATGGAAGTGCACAACGTGCTCGGCGTCAAGTGAGGTTAAAGTTAACAACGTTCTACGTGCGCCTGTCATTGTAAATCTTAAATATTGACCAAAAGGTCTCCTCTGCACGATGGACGATACGTTGAAGCCCGGTGAGGATTTGGTCCAGATGTTCTGTAAACTGTTTGGTGTGACGGGAAAGAGAAACATTTCCGTCAGGGTGACTCGGGAAGACGTGGATGAGCAGATACGTTTTTTATTGACGTCTGTGTGACGTGCCTTAATACAAGTGACCAGATAAGATGGCTTTGACATCACTTCAGAGAAAACATGATGGTTTTCTGTGCAGAATGATTCAGCTGCATGACCCCAGTCCCATAATGCACTCCTGCTGAGTTTGTTGCCAGTAAACCGTCAAAAAGATGACAAACACATGAAGCACAAAGCTAATGGCTAAGTAAGCATATTTTAATGAAATGAGTCAGATGGTTGTTTAATTCAAACTTGCACGTTTGCAAATGTTCTTTCTATGAGATGGAAATAAATATGCAGACAGGAGATGAATTCTGTGATTTTTTTATTGAAATGATCGAGAGAAAATTAAATATTAATGATTTAGCTTGTTGCTAATAACTGCTGAGTCGCTTTTGTATTGATTTAGAAGTAAAGCTAAACTTTTGAGCTCTTGTTTGGTTTTTTATGAACATAAGATGCTTTATTAACTCCCAGCGAGCTTAGCTGTTTAATGCTTCTACATTTAATCTATAACATCTATTATAGAGCTTTCTCAGACATCAGCATGTTGGGTTATGAGCAACAGCACACCTCCCTGGACTGGATTTTGAAGACCTTTCATGGTAATCGTAACAAGCAGATGAGTATAAATAACACACTAGATGGGTGTTTTATTTTGGAGGGTCATTTTTAGACACAACTAAAAAATAAGTTCAGTCAGACCAAAAATATCTAAAACATCTCAGAGAAAAGATCACAACTTTTTGACCACCACCTGACTAAATATAATTAGTTACATTTATTTATGATCAATGACAAGAAAAAGATGCACAAACATGGCTGACAATCGTTAAAAGCTTTTATTTTTTACTTTTATGGTACTTTTTTTTTTGTCAAAGTCTTATTACTTATTTTTTATGTTTGTAGTACAGTTAGCACAACTGGGCAATAAACATCAAAGTTCTTAAATATCTCACTAGTCTTTAGATATGTCTACACAGACAGTTGTTTTTAAAACTAAATGGTAGATTTTTGTTTCACTAATAAAATGCAGGTTTCTGTTATTTTTTAAAGACACTGTCTAGTTTCTCTACAGTAAATCCTCTCAGCCTGTGGCCATCAGACTGGAAAACTCTTAACTGGTGGTGGTCAGAGGGACTGAACGCGCCAGGCCTCTGTCAGCGTGCCCCAGAGCAGCTGTGGCTACATCGTAGCTCATCACCATCAGTGTGTGAATGTGTGTGTAAATGGATGAATACACTGTAGTGTAAAGCGCTTTGGAGTCCTCTGACTCTGAAAGGTGCTATACAAGTGCAGGTAATTTATCATTTATTAAATGTTTTCTTGGACAAAATACATAAACGAGTTAATTGTTATTTCTATTATTATTGTTATTGTTGTGTCTTGCCTAATTTATTCTCATTTCGTTGAGACTTTTCTAAACCTTTGGAGCTCTAAAAGGGAAAAGAAATTCCACATCTGGATCTGAATCTGACTCCGAGGCTTATTGAGGACACAAAGGACCAGATGGTGGTCTAGGACCACTTCTTAACATCGAAGCGTTCCAATAATCAAATATCCCTCAAACTAAATGCACAGATCCATCAGCCTATTTATTTGATCAGCTCATATGACGAAAAAGAGGAAATCGTTTTCTTTGAGTTAAGTCTCCTGGCTTGTCATTGCACCTTCTGGAGGTGTTTTACTTAAAACAGCTTCAACCTAGAAAGCATGTCAGGACTAGTCAGGAACGTTCATTTGTTCTGCCTGACTGGATGATGTTGATGTTTAAGCTGCCTGAGAACAACTCATCCTTTAATCGTGAACGATCTTTTCTTCTGGTGAATGTCTTTTCTCCTGTGAGTTGAAGCTCTTGAGATCTTTTCATAATTCTCTCTGGCATTTTGAAGGATACTTTAAAAACAAATGAGGGAAAGTATTTGCTCTTGCTCAACATCAAGATAAAAAGACAGTTCAGAGTTTTTGGCCTCAAGATGATAAACATTTGTTCTCTGATGGAGAAAAGAACATAAGAATAACAGAGATTTTATGTAACTAATGCATGAACACCAGGAAATAAACCAGAACCAAAGCTCCTCTACTGATGACTGGACTCTATAAACCAGTTAAGAGTGTCCAGAGTAAAGCAGGAGTCCCACATCCTCCCTGAGCAGATGTACGATTTAACAGCTGAGGTCAGCTGGCTGCTCCCATTCCTCAGTGGTGGATCATCACAGCCGCGGGGCTGACTCATCCCCGGCGTGTTAAAAAACCTCTGGACTGCCCAGGAAACAAAGAGTGTGCTGTGAGAGTCTGCTGAGCGCGTCTCAGACTTCACCGCACCAGTGGAGGGTATCTGGGACAGAACCTGTGGGCGAGACTTTAATGATGGACTATTTAGAGCTGCTGCTGCTGGTCCTCGGCCTTCACGGAGCCCTCTGTGCTGTGGTACACTGGCCAGAGTTAAACGAAGCTAAGGTAAGGTCAAAACCAGAAGTGTGTTTTCAACACATATTTGAACTATTTTTAAAAAGCAGAAATATTTCATATAAAAAGGAGATTTGTTCAATGCACAGGCGTATTTGAAGCAGTATGGGTACCTGAGTGATCCGGCCGATCCTCTGGACCATTATAACCTGGAAGAGGTCATTGAAGCTCTCAGGTAACGCATTTTTAGAGTTTTTTTTAATGAAAACTTTTTATCTGATAAAACAAATGTTAGATTTGTGTGTGATGGGAAGAAAATCACAAAAAAGTCAGTTTTATAATAGTTATTCTTCAGTATCCAGCTGTTTGACACACACGATGTTGTCAGAGTCTTCCAGAGGGTGAACGATTTGCCTCCTACTGGAGAGTTAGAAGAAGAGACCCTGAGTGTGATGAGACAGCCTCGCTGTGGTTTGGAGGACCCCTTTAACAAGAAATTCCAGAAGTACAGAACGATGGGTGAGTCACGAGATGTCAACATCGCAGGGTACGGCATCAGTTTGAGCCGAAATGAGACTTAATGTGTGGTAAACTGGATAATGTTGATTCTACATTTGGACTGGAAATGAACATAATGGTTTTGTTTAAATTTATAGGAAGGTGTCAAACTGAAGGTTCCTTTAAATAACTCAAACCAGAGTTTTGGGAAAGATAAATAACTCGAGAAAACATAAATATAAAGAACACTAATAGGATGATTTAGAAAAAGTGTCTCTGTATCTTCGTGCAGCGATGAAAGAACAATCTAAAATGCAGTCTTGGCAACCAACAGGAGGAGGGACTTTTTACACTGGGAGATTGGTAGGTGTGTGAGTGGAGTTCCAACTGAGGACATCTATCCTTTGTTCGTTTTCCTCCGCTTATCCGGTTCCGGATCGGCGGGGGCAGCATCTCAAGTAGGGCCTCCGAGATATCCCTCACCCCCGTTACCTCCACCAGCTCACCTGGCAGGACCCCAAAGCGTTCCCAGGCCAGACTGGAAATGTACTCTCTCCATCTTGTCCTGGGTCGAACCGGGGGCCTCTTGCTGGCCGGACACGCCCATAACACCACCCCAGGAAGGCGTCAGGCGGCATCCTAACAAGATGCCCGAACCTCCTTAGCTGGCTCCTCTCGATGAGAAGGACCAACGGCTCTACTCCAAGTTCCTCCCGAATGTCCGAGCTCCTCACCCCATCGCTACGGCTGAGCAGACTACCCTCCGGAGGGAACTACTTCCAGCCGCTCATATCCGCGATCATTACCCAAAGCTCATGGCCATAGGTGAGAGTTGGGACGTAGATCGACCGGTAAATCGAGAGCCTTGCCTTCTGGCTCCTTCTTCACCACGGAAGACCGGTTAAGCATCCACATCACTGCAGATGCTGCCTCTATTAGCCTGTCGATCTCCCGCTCCCTTCTTCCCTCCCTCGTGAACAAGACTCCGAGATACCTAAACTCTTCTACTTGAGGCAGGACCTCTCTCCCGGCCAAAATCCAACAAAACAAAGGAAAATTGACTCCAAATATGATGAATCCAAAGAAAACCAAACAAGAACTAACTCAAAACACAACAACTGAAAGAAGACCCCCAAGAGCAAGACGGTTGTTTGCATGCTAACACCTCAGATTGTTGTCTTGTAAACCTTTATATGTCCTCTCAGGTCATTGGAGAAAAAAGAGCCTCACCTATCGTATCTACAACTACACACCTGACATGCTGAAGTCCGAGGTTCGGTCAGCCATCCACTCAGCTTTCCAGTATTGGAGCGACGTGGCAGCTCTGACTTTTAGAGAGGTGGACTACGGCAGACCAGACATCCGAATCTCCTTCCATAAGAAAGATGGCTACTGCTCTGTCCCTTTCGACGGCCGTGGTTCGTTTTCTTTTTGTAAACACTCACTGAAACTACCCACCGGCCTCTAAACTGCTGGATTGTGTAATGGTTTGTGTTTCCATACTTCCTGCAGGCCAGGTTCTGGCCCACGCTGAACCACCTGAGTCTGGTCTGGTCCATTTTGATGAGGATGAGTTTTGGACTGAGGGGTCGTATTATGGTACCAATCTGCGTATTGTAGCCGCCCATGAAATAGGCCACGCTCTGGGTCTGGGTCACTCTCAGTACAAAAGCGCTCTGATGGCACCAATTTATGCTGGTTACCGTGCCAACTTCAGGCTGCACTCAGATGATGTGAACGGCATCCAGGCCCTATACGGTGAGTGAGCTCAGCAGAAGCGTTCCACATCATGATATTGATGGTTTAGACCAGGGTTAACCAACTCCGGTCCTCGAGGGCTACCATCCTGCATGTTAGCTCCCAAACACCTGACTGAAACGAACGAGTAATCAACAGGCCTGTGCAGAGTTAAACGTGGTGAGGAGAGAATATGGTGGAGCAGGAAACACAAAAAACCAGTGGGATGGTATCCCTTGAGGACTGGAGTTGGGGACAGCCGGTTCAGACACCAGTCTTGGTTAGTCAGACAGTATTTTTACAATCTAATCCCAGACCACCACACTGCCACCACCATGTTTGACTGTTGGTATGATGCTGTTTCTCTTATATACCAGCTGTGTAACAGGACACATGTCCAAAAAGGGACTCTGTTGTCTCATCAGTTCACAAAATATCTCGTGATTAAAAAAAAATCCTTGGGGATTATTATGTGGAATGTGAGATGGACCTTTGTGTGCTTCTTGGTCAGTGGAGGCTTTGGTGTCAGAACTCTCCAACTGATGCAGTTTTTCCTTCTCTCTTTAAAAAAAATCATAGCCTCTGACCTTAACGTTGACTGCTTTTGGGTTCTTGGGATGGTTCATGCCATGTTGAATGAATAAAGTAAATCCTCATTTGAGAAAAGCATTTTGTATTAATTCAGGTTATTTTTGTTTGATATTGAATATAAAAGTCCCTCTTAGGGGGGAAATGTTTGTAATTCTGCACATCTTCAGTATTTGCACAAAAACAAAAAGATTTCTCAGCTAATATTTCATTTAATCTGTTTGGAACTGACGGCATGCAGTGGATCAAATGTTACTCAGTAACATGATGTAAACGTTGAGGTTTAAAAGAATATTGACATTTTTATTTGATCCTTGGGACTGTAGAACAACTCCTGAAAACAAAATGACCACAACCTATAGACATCTCTAAATGCTGAAACACCTCAGCCAGGTAAAGCTCCAAAACCTGACTGGGAAAAGCATGAACCAGTCGTCTTGTTTCTGACTGTTGAAGGAAAACGCAGCACCTTGGACTCATCCACACATGCAGAGCACCCGTTTCCCACAGAGAGCAGCGCTGGCGCTGATAGGGTTCCTGAGCCCTGCACGGCTGTCCTGGATGCCATTATGTTAGGTGAGTTACTGCCTTTGAGCAAACTCAAATCAGAAGCAACTACAGGTAACACGAAGATCACATTTTTATCATTGTTTTTTCCTCTAAAATAAAGTTTATCATTTGAGCATCATGCTATGATTTGTTGGTTCAGGTCCATGGGAGAAGACCTTTGCCTTCAGCGGCGATTATTTCTGGACCATCTCTGACCTGGGCCATAACACACCTATAAAGATCAGCAGACTGTGGAGGGAACTCCCTGGAAACCTGAACGCTGCCGTCCACTCTCAAAGAACCAACAAGACCTACTTCTTTAAAGGTAAACATGAGCTAAGCTTCTGCAGGATTTCTTGTTCTGCAGCAGAAAATTGAATGTTTGAACTTTTGTGGTCACAGGCAGTAAAGTGTGGCGGTACACAAGGTTCATGCTCGACTACGGCTACCCCAAACAGGTGAAACGGATCCCCCCTGACGTGGACGCGGCCCTGTACCTGCAGAAAAACAAGAAGCTGGTCTTCATAAAGGTGAAGGTGCAGAGTTGCTCTTTGGCTGGGGAATGTTAGAATCTCTCTCGTTTCCTTTCTGTGTGCAGGGGTCAGAGTACTGGCAGTTCGATGAGCTGGCTTACAACCGTTTAGGGTTGTACCCCAAACCCCTCAGCATGCTCTTCACCGGAGTCCCATCCTCTCCTGACGCCGCCTTCACCTGGACCAACGGCAAGATCTTCATCTTTAAGGGGGATGAGTACTGGCGAGTGAATGAGATGCTGAGAGTGGACAGAGGATACCCTCTGAGCAAGAAGGAGCGCTGGATGCGATGCTAGCGCACATCCACTAGGGGGCAGCAGCAACCAAGCTCTTCTGCAGAGGCAACGACAAGCTGTGATTGAGGATCGTCACTGGTCCCAGGGGAGCGAATAAGTGTGAAACTGCGTTGGTTTTCACACATGCTGATTTTAATGAGGCTGACCTTTTGTACTGTACATTTGTGTTGCTGGAGGGGAGACTGGCGAATTATGTAAGCTTCTGTATGATCTTGGACAGAAATCAAGGGGTTTGTTTTATTTTTTTCTTTGACATGTGTTGGATTATGTGTTGCAACACTCGAAGATGTAAAATTTTTACACTATGAATCATAGTGAGAGATCTCGTCACTTTAGATTTTGTACCCTGACTTTAAGTGAAGATGTCATTTTTCTAATATTTGCAAGATAAAAAAAGAAAAATTAAAATAATCAGATTTTATCTGAAAATTTGTTCACATAAAAACTCATTTCCCCAACATTCACAGTGAAGAAAGAACCCTCTGTTATGCATTTCGCTGTGTGCAAAAAAAAAAAAAAAAAAAACAACAACTTTGGCAGCACCATGGCAACGCCAGCCAATCACAGAGTAGGAAATCCTCCCCATGACCTCTTTATTGCTGATGAAAATCCTCTGGGTAATGCTGCTCGAGTTGCTAGGAACCAGAGGAGACAAACAAAGCTGACACAAACGATAAGTTAAAACTGTTTTTATTAAACAAATCCACTCTTCCAGGTCAATTCTATGAACAGGTATTTACATATTCAGGTAACAAAATGAAAAAGTATTCTGTAATCTAGAACAAATGTAGGACAAACAAGCTTTTGTGCTTTAAAATAATAAAAAAAAACTACCAGGTACTTTGTTGTTACATAAATTATATTTAAAAAAAACTCCACAGTCTTAACTCTTCACTGATTGTACTGAAACAAATGCTACGTAATAAAAACAAAAACAGATGGTCTAAAGTGGTGCCACTGACACAGGACTTTAAAAATCTAATTTCTGCTTCACTTAGTCAAACCTAATATCACATGCATTATTTTACCTTCCCGCCACTGTTTAAAATAGTGGCTTTAAAGGTTTTCTCAATTCCTGTGACCACAGACCTCAGATCAGTGATAATACGACCTTCCACGGTAATGGCTAACAACTAAAGTACAGTACTTAACGTTAAACAGATATGCTTCTGTTTCTCAGGCTCGGACTTGCTGCTGTGTATCTAACACATGATGAGTGGAAACGAGTGTCTGTTTTCCTTGCAGTGGTTTTACATCAAACGGGAGTTTAACGCCCATCGTTGCCCTGCGGAGAACAGCATTCACAGAGGGCGCTATCGCTCCACATGGGATTTCCAGCAAAACTAAGTTAAATCGGTTCTCTGGTCTACGTTGGGAAGACGCTTTAAACATCCTTCTATAGGAGGTGCTGTACGTTGGGGAGGAAGTGGCTCACACCCTGACGACAGGAGTCGTGGCTGTGAGTGGAACCGTGGAGCCGGTGTCGTAGTCCAAGTCGATCACGGTTTGGCTGGTGGCGCCGAGGCTGCTAAGGGAAGTGCCTGTTCCCGTCTGTCTGTCGCGCAAACTTTGTAGGTAGCTCTGAAACGAACACAAGAGATGAGTCAGGTGCAAGCGTTTATGTTGTTCACCCACTAAACAAACATCTAGAGACACATCTCTACTGCTTTCTGCTTCCATCTGTGTGACAGAACTGGTGTTTAAAACGCAAAGTCACTACAGCACACATTGTGTTGGCTGACACTGACCGGTGCCAGTAGATCCCCAGCGTAACGTTTGACTGGGGTGGGTTTACGGCGATATATGCCTTCCTGCCCACCTGCCTGCTGTCGCTTCTTGGCGTCCTTCTCTCGAATCCGCATCAGCTGGACTCTCTTCTGTCTCCGATTGACCACCACTGTGAGAGGAGGGAAGATCAAAAGTCTTAGACGGAAAAAATCTCTTTATTCAGTGCATCAGTATAATAAATCAGAGAAATAACACAACCTCTGCTCCTAATCATTAGGTCGGTTTAGAGATGCTGTCCTACACCCGCTTTAGTGAGGATGGCCGTCGTATGAGAGACCGCCACGGACTTCACTCACTAAAGATCTCTGTGCTGTTTTCCACGAGCCCTCGAGCTCTCCAGTACAAAGTCCCTCCTGTACCCAACAGAGCTCCTCTAAGCCTGGTGAGAAAACTCTTTGTCCACTCCAAGTGTTCCTAACGGAGAAAGGAGCTCCTATGCAGACCATCTCAACAGAAAAATGTAAACATCAGACCATTCTAGACCCACACTTCCAATCCGCTCCTTAGATTACATCCAAAACATACTCTACAGTAAATTTAAAGGACTACAGCTATTTGAACAACGTTGCATCCATCAGTGATCAGATCTTGAGAGCTGTTTTACAGGACCTTAGCGTTTGCAAGACGGGATTTGCCGCAGCACCCTGGGGAGGATAAAGGTCGTTTATAAGATCAGACCGTGGTGGTAATGTGCAGCAATCGTGGCAATTTTATAAAAGATTAGGTGATGGCGGCGGTCTCTGCGCTGCCGCAGACTTCCGTTTATCTTGGACATAACTTGCTTTTTATTCCGATTGAAGCCGTGATCGTTAAGTTTTTTTTAACAAGCAGCTCCTAAAGGTGTCTGTCCCCATCAGTCCCTGTGCAGTCTCTGGTGATCTGAGCTTCAGCTCTAACAGAGAGGCTCGTGGAGCGCTGCGGCGCTCCAGTTTGCCATCTCAGCTGATTTTGTTCAAAAAGCAAACCTTATTGCCTGTGTTTACTTTCATTTTCAATAAATTTGCCAGCCGGAGCTCAGCAATAACTCCCCATGCCATCATGACATCTGCCTCTGTTGCGTCAGGGTGCATTCGACAGACCATTACCGCAATATTACTACCAAGCAAGACTGAACAAATGCCGCAAAATTCGCGCAACGCCATGCCAGCATGGCGCGTTTGTAGACATCAGTGTTTCCCCTAGGAATTTTTCCAGCTGTGGTGGTGGTGGTGGGGGTTATGACACGTCTCACCTTAATGTTAATATTGTTTTATTAGACGCACTCCACTTTGAACTGCACCAATCCAGCAACTGCTGAATTTAATAACTAGTATTAAAGGTGAATACATCAATATTTGCACAAAAATAATTTTTGTTTTAAACTCTCAGTGACACACTTTGCAGGGGGGGTTTGGCATTTAATTTTTCTTGGCGTCTGGATAAACATCTCCTTCTGCCCCCATTTGACTTTCTGGCCCCTTTATTTTGGTCCAAGATCATCATTGGGCTGGCCCTATTAAACACGTTCTACATACACCCCTGCTTAGTAGACTTAATGAAGTATTTTTAAGCCAGTATAAAAATGACTGAAACACAAATGTACATATTTGGCATTATTGACCAATATCTTTGATTTTATTTATTTGTTAAGAACATCAAGATGCATTACGGTGAACATTATAATAAAGTACAATTTTCTAGTGCAGAGAGGAGACAACCCATAGAAGCACTGATTTGATCTAATTTCAGAGAAAAATAGAACAGGTCAGATGCATCTAATAAATAAAATTACTAACATAAACGCAGGAATCTGTTTCTTTGCTTCATTGTTCTGGTGCTGAAAATATCACTAATGTGGATCAAAGGAGAAACACAGATGAATGCACCTTATTATTTGGAAATTAGTGGGTGTGGTTTACATCAATACATTATTTTAAATCTGAAAGTGATATGGATGTGTAACCCAGAAGCTAGAACCTTAATGAGGTATTAACTAATTGGCTTACTAATATGATCCATCCTCAATTTAGATAAAATATAAAATATAAATTAAGGAAATTAACAATACTAATTAATAGATATCTAATTAACTAATAGATAATTTCATAATGAATTATTGGAAGGGTGAATAACTAAAATAACGAGTTTAATATTAAACATCGGTTAAAACAAGAATCTTGAACATCACTAACAGAAACAGAAGAGGAAAGCTGTATACCATTGGTCCAGGTGGGAATCTGAAATTTCATTGGCTGAGAGAAATAAGTCCCGCCTCCGCGAAATAAAACCGTGCGACGCAGCTGAGCGAGAGGAGAGACAAACGGCTGTGCAGCACGCAGATACAGAAAGCAAAGACTGAGCGGTTAGAGAGAGAGAGAGAGAGAAAAAAAAAACAACGGTCGAGGCCGTGAAGAACCCTGATTTGGGTGCCGCATAGATAGAGGGAGAGGCGGACTTGACTCCTTCTAATAAGAGCTAGGAACTTGGAACCAACGCGGTGAGTAAAGAAAAAAGAAGAGAAAAAGCTAACGATGCAACTTAAAAAAAAAAAAAGGAAACTTAAATAGCTTATCAAATTAATTCCATTCTTATAGATTTGTGTGGAGACGACAGAGTGAACCAATCCTCTGTAGGAGGGAACCGTTGGAGCGCGTTGGTGAGTGAATGAGATTAAATTCAGTAAATTATTAAATTCAAAAAGCTAATTACAGCAACCGAGGTGACAGCAGTGGGCTGCTAGACGTTAGATCCCAGGAGTTAACATCTCAAACTACCAGTTAACGGTGGTAGGGCATATAGGAGTTAACGGCTCAAACCGCCAGTTAACGGCGGTACGGCATATGGGATTCCCAGGAGTTAACGGCTCAAACCGCCAGTTAATGGCGGTACGGCCTAGATGTACAAGGTCCTCAGGGGCGTTATAGCTAACGCCATAGAATTAGCAATGCGTCCCTTAACCAAACATTTAATAATAAAAAAAATAGATAAATAAAAATAAATAAAAGCTAACTGATTAGGGAGGAATTATTTTACAAAGGTGGACCAAAGGACCAGAATTTATATTTTGTTGAATTTTGTTATAGAACATTTTATTTATTTATTTATTTATTTATTTATTTATTTATTTATTGTGTTACAGATATACAAGGTGTCACAATGCTGTATAGAAACACAACTAAATGTATCCTTGTTGTCATGAATGTATTTCTTGTCGAATAGTGTAGAGTAATAGAATCTAACTGAGCCTATTGAGCTGAACAATTGTTGTCATATGTAATTATATTTCCAGAGCTACTGAGAATTATTTTAATAGACAATCAAATTGATGTTATGTTAGTTGAACTGTGAACCCAAACATGATTGGCTATGCCAATAGAGTGAAGCATTTGTTTAAGTCTGTAAGACTTTATGCTGTGATGTGACGAGAAGGGTCGATGCCAACTTGCTAACAGTCCTGTTGTTTACAGGCTGGGTTTTTTTTTTTTCCTTGGGTTTGATCCCGACTCCTATGATCACTCACTTGGAACGAGAACTGGATTTCTTCCTGACGAGGGAGATGGCGAGCCTTAACCACTGAACGAACCAGGACATCTCAAGTAACTGAAGAGCAGACTGCTCTCTTCTGTGAACAATCTCAACGGTGTGGTAGGAAAAAATCGCACCACCGGACTCTGACTTTCACCCCAAGCGTGGGGATTTGACTTGACGCCGGCTGACTTGTGACTCATATGATCAAATCTCATACCGACCATTTTACTATTGTCGATTGTTTTCATCTGTTTTTGTGTGTTATCTTTATGTGTTATATTTCCCATTATTATTAAAATTTAGTATATAAACCGTTTCATGCTATACCCGTGACTCCAGTCATTCTTAAACAACCTCCAATTCTCCCCGAACCTAATTATTGGCCCATTTGTTTATTTTTTCTTTTAATTATCTTATTGTATCCTGTAATCCGGTTACATAAAACTTGGCGAGCCAGCCAGGAGAATTGTAGAGTTGTTACCTTAGCTAACCATTGACTGACATCATAAGAGTGCCTGGAGGTCACAGTGGTTTGCCATTTTGGCATTATTGGTACTTTTGAGTGTTTTAAAATGGAAGTTGTGAAAACAGAAAAGGTCAAAGTTTCAAATGCTGTTTTAATCAGTGGGTTAACTGATACAGACCTTGATAACGAAGTCTTTGGGTTTATGGAAGGATTCGGACCAGTTAACAGGCGCATTAAGTTACCAAACTGTGATCAGATTATTGTGGAGTTTCAACATGAAGCCACTGTTAAGGAATTAAAGAAACAATGTTTACCCTATGACAAACCTTGTACTAGGAACCCAGATGTTTTCTTCCATATTCAAGACCTAGCCAGCGCGTACAGTCTAGAAACTAGCACATCTGCCACTGATGCCTATCTGTCAGAGCTCAGGGACATAGCTGCGCGTAGCAATCAATCATTTAAAGACCTTCTAATGGAGGAACTGGCAAAAATTGGGGAATCTTTAGGAAGGGATACCCATGCATCTGAACCAGTCACTGAACTAGAGCCAATGCTCCATAGTGACCAAGTTACATATTCCCTGCCTTTAACACCAGAAGTTAACTATATGAACAACTCAAAGGACAATTGTCCACCTACAGAGACTGGAAAACAAAACCCTTGCATTCCACCAAATCTTTTAAACACACCTGAGGTTCAGCGAGTTATTGTGGAACACATTGTTAAAAGCAGTGAGGTTATCCCTCCGCCTACTTCACAATACAGACTAAAACCGTTCTCAGGGCGAGTTCCACACCCTTCTTTTGAAACTGACTATGATACTTGGCGTAGTAGTGTAGTGTTATGCATAAATGATCCTTCACTCACCAAGTCCCAAATTGTACGAAGAATCGTGGAGAGTCTGTCAGCCCCAGCAGCGAGCATCGTTAAAGCTCTTAGTCCAAAATCCGACCCGGAAACGTACCTTGAACATCTCGATTCAGCTTACGCAGCTGTCGAAGACGGCGACGAGCTCTTTGCTCGCTTCTTAAACACAAACCAGGACAGTGGTGAAAAACCTTCCGATTACTTTCAGAGGTTATACACCTTGTTAAACCTAGTTATTCAGAGGAATGGAATTTCCTCCAGTGACG